GAATCCACAATTTTTGCATAGCTTTTTTGGGGATAACCAGAGAAGCATTAATAATAACTGATTGTTCTTTATATCACCATATAAGGTTGTGTTGCCATGGGCAAGCACAGCGGTGGGATCAAGGGGTGTCTGCGCCTTTTCCCTTTCAGACGATGTAAAAGGTGAGATCGAACTTCCTCTCGCAGAAGCGCGTGTGATGTTTTTTATTTATAATTTTTTTGCCAACGCTATAAAAAAACGAGTTTTAATTCTTTAATACATGAACAGTGCAAACCCCTCCGAAGGAGAGGTGAAGCACTTGTGTGCTATAATCCATTAATCTTGGAACACTAACAACTTTATTCTCATTGAGATTTTTCAATCTCATGAACAGGGAAGAATCTTGAAAAACCGGTGAAACCTAAAAACTGGTGTGATTATGCGTCAAAACCAGTTTGCTACACAGGGCTCATTAAAAACACAACAAAATATCGTTAAGCAAAGTTAGACTTCAAACGAGTTTTTACAATAATCGAGATGTGATTCGAAGCTCTTCGTTTGAAAAAAGAAAAAAAAAGTTAAGTAGTATAAAAAGCCTAAAGATTTTCCATGAGAGATAAGACCGAGATACTGAGAGTCGATCGTTATGAGAAAGTTCTAGACGTAACAGTTTTTCTGCAGCACTGCCACTTATTGCCGTTTCTCGTCCTGAGGCACACTTGTGTAGAGGCCATGCAATGGTTGTTTTTCCTCGGGAAGGTCTGAAACAACTACAGGATGATTTCCGCTATGATAATGCACAGCGCTACTATGGAGATACAGGTCTAGCCATAAGCATATATTTGCTTCTAAGACAAGTTTCGCATGCACACAACAGAGGTACTAGAAGATGTAAATAACCTTAGGAAGGTGAGGGTCAATTCTAAAGAATTTCTGAAAGCAAGAATTGTTTGAAATTTGTCATTTCCACCTAAAAGAAGTCCTTGTCTTCTGCACAGACCAATGCAGCACTTGCAGGAGTGGTAGAGAGGCAGAAGGTGTTTTATACAGCGAAATTATCAAGCGGGAAAAAGGAGAAGAGAGGAAAGAGTCGCTGAATTTTAAAACAAACCATCGTGAACTTTGCTATCATTGGAGGTAAAACCTGGTGGGGGCATTGCTAAAACAAACATAATCATGTGTTGTTTGCCCCCTTTAAGCTCACTCACCTATTGACATATTGCGCATTGGGTGAATGCGATCATGAGCGATGAGGTCGTCCTTGACGTAGTGATAGACGATGCCGGCACCGAAAGCATCCCCGAGCACATTGATCGAAGTACGAATTCGGTCTCTGTAAAATTTCTCCCATCGACTCGCACTGACGACATTTTTGCTTCGCTTTGTGTGATGTGATTTTTGAGATCAGCACGTGAGACTATCAGTCCGTAAGTCTGCGTTCAGAATGATGTTATTCTAATTCATATCATGGACCAACAGCACAATCGCTCTGCTCACTCCCTTATTTGTTCTAAACATCACACTGTGATTCTTAGCAACTTTCGATTAACTCACAGTAGCCAGTCAACAGCAACGATCAATGAGACGTCCTTTACAGGCAGGCCAACAGCCGTAAGCACTAGCAACATCGTTACTAAACCAGCTGAAGGCACTGATGCAGCACCAATTGAAGCGAGTGTAGCAGTGAGACTGAAAGGATACTTACAACATAACAATAAGCAATTGGATCTGTCTTACCTGACAGTAATAACTTGACCAAAGGATAAGTTTATGCCATTCATTTGAGCAATAAAAATGGCAGCTACAGCTTCGTAAAGTGCTGTTCCGTCCTAAAAACTCAGCGGTTTATTTTACCACACTTGTTTTTACAATGTTGCGTTGTTGCACTTGATCTTCAAAACTTTGAGATCCTCCCCCAAATTCGCATCTTTCATGCCATCGGTTTGATAAAAAATTACTTAGAGATAACATTCAGAACTTCGCGTATGATCTATGAAAAAAAATTATTCTAAGTTTCACAGTCACGCATGATGATGGTAGAGAGCCCATAACACATCTAGAAATTGTCTCGAAAATCTTCGTTCAAAGTGTATTTTCGACGATGACTGCCCAACCTGGAATCTTAGTACA